CTGAAGCGATTAAAGAATGAATTAAAGATTTAAGTAACGGAAAAAGGAAGTATTATAACAAAACGTGGATAAAGTGATAAGGCATCATATATTCTACACTTGAAGGAATTATATGTATGTATGTATTGTTTGATAATAAAACGCAACTTTTTATAAAAAATGAGCGACCCTGTAAGAAACCTTTGAAGAAGATGATAATCAAGATAATAGCGCATAATGTTAAAACAATAAAAAGTAACAAAGAATTAGCATTATCTCTTAATACATCCTCATCAACTCATAATATCGATCTATACATCTCAACAATTCATCCGAAAATACAGAAGAAAAAAACACACAAAGGAACACTTTAGTAATTAATCTCTTACAAGATAGATAATAACGTACAATAGAAGATAAAGTGAGAGTCATAAACCCCCAACAGTCTCGCAATCATAAATCTTCTAGTCATATATAAATATAAAAAGATCAATAGTAATACTACATATTATGTGGCTTAGTAGAAATTCTTCAAATCAATGATCAAGGAGAGTCAGTAGACGTTATTCCTATCGTTTGAAAATTAAAAATTACTTTGATGATTTCATTAATTACTAGAAGATCGCTTGTCTGATATTTCGAGGTCGATTTTCTACTATTCTTGTAAATGGTACCAAACGCAGGTAAAGGTGGAAGAGGTCATGGACGTCGGCCTATCAAAAATTAGCTTAAGCTACCGAAACATAATTTCAGATAGGATTTAGCTTTCAAAACGGATTAATTTCTGGCCAAGTAAATTTACTTGATACCGTAGTCAATTTTCGCTCTTAAGAATCTGAACGCTCGATTGCGATTAGAGAGAATTATAAAAATTCTGATCATTTTCTTTTAGTAAATCTTGTATCCAAGAATTCCAAAAAAATTTACGTATCCTCCAGTAAAAGACATTCTCCTATCTGGTAAAAATGGTCCTGAACGAGTGATCGCAACAGGTATCGGCTACTAATTTTTATAATGCAAATTTTAAAACTGGTCCACCGACTTTTCAAATTAAATTAATGTTAAAAGATAATTTGCTAATCGATGGAATACAGATCCAGAGAAACTGAAGAAGCACAGTAATAATTTCAATCGTTCACTGGTACATCTCCGCGACTGTCATCGCGAATGATGCTGAACGAATGCGCGTCAGGTCTGAAGCGAATCGGTTACGGTTACGACGACAGGGGCACGACAGGTCGGTCAGTCGGGTTAGGCCCGAATAGACTGTCAATGAGGTGTCCAGCTGTGCCCATCCTGTGCAATGCGGTATGTAACAATTATTGCCGCAGCCGTGTCCCTCCTTCGGCCATGTACCAGTACTTTTTACTAGCCCCACCATTCGCATAAACAGTGCGGAGCGGTGCACACTTTGCGGCGTTTAGTCACTAGTTAACCGTGTACCCGTTTGACAGAATATACGTTTCCGTGCTGCGCGTTCTGTATTCACAGTCGACCGCGATAGCCGAGCGATTCACAGTGAACCCGATGAATCTTGGTACAGAGATTACTTCTGAATGAGGATTATTAGTGTATTACGGGAAACATGTCCTAAGAATAAGAGAAATTATGAAGAAATCTGTCCGATGACTCGAGATGAGTAAAACAAATACTCATCCTCGAGCTCTCCTCGGTGACAACGTTAAACGACGAAACTTAATTCAAATCTTAATTCGATTATATAGAAAACTGGAGTAAATCTCGATTGCCAGCGCGGCTCTATCTACCGTGAAGGGATTAACGAGTGAGCGGGTTCATCCAGCTGGATGAAGACGTTTTTATTCAATCGTTTGAAGAGAATAGGATAAATCGATAATTGAATTACCCATGGGAGGCGGCCTGTTGATCGGTGAAGGGTAAACAGGCGGATGATCGATCTGAATGATCCAGCTGGAGCGAACAGTGACTCGGCGAGGAAAGTCTCGGAATAGTAACGAACGTAGAACCAGCATTGAGAACCTTGAATCTGCGGGTCTAACGAGGTGAACAAAGCTCTGTCGCCGAGCGTCGGTGGAGAGGATCGCCGCGGCGGGCAGTAAAAGCGGGTCAAGGTGTCGAAGACGTCGAACAGAGATATGTACATGTCAAGATATAGAGTTTAGAGGTGTCAGCGAGTCTTCGCGTCGCGCCGTCTTTCCCTGAAAAAACAAGGCATCACGCAACTCAGTTAACGATCGGCGGCTTCCCTATCAGCCACGTGATCGTTAATCAACGATCGGGGATCATTGTGTTTGGACTTTCTCGGAGTCATCGTCACGCGACTCGTTCGCACACTGTCAACGATCGGACAGGGAGACTACGTCGGGAGCTGCAATCGTGGACAGCCATCGGCAGTCTATCGTTGAAAGGAGCCCTGACCCGCGGCTCGTTCCGTTGCGTTTCGTCCGCGCACTCGTCCCGATCCTCCAATTCAAAGTTTACTTCCTTCGGTCCATTACATTTTCGGTCGTTGATCTAATCGAGTGGAGGATACCATTAGGAAAAACAACCTACTTCAGCGATTCGAGGTTTTCAAAAAGTTAAGCAATCGAGGAATCACACTCGGGGATAATTTATCGAGTTTTTTTACGGTGAAAATTTTCCGGAAACATATAATCCGAGTTCTTCGTTGAGTACATGGATTCACGTTGCACTAGTGTACCTGAGGACTCCTTGAAAAATCGAGAACGTTTCCCGTTCGAGGAGCTTGGAACTCTGTTACATTTTTATAGCAAAGCTGGAACATTTCGCCTCAGTTTTATCAAATACCGTGCGTTGTACCAAAATTGCCAACGGTGAAACATACCGAGTGTTTCTCATTTATCTGAAGAGGACTGCGAAATAATAAATCGCGACGAAGTTTTCCAAATCAACAATTGTATCTGATCACATATATAAATAGTATAATTAATTCGTGGTAATCCTACAAGCCAGTGGATCATCACGAAATCGACCTTCTCTTTATATACGCTGTTCGTTAATTATTAAGGAATATTAATTAACGACGTATATCAGATTCGGGATATGGAGATCGACATGAGCGGCAGAACGAACAGGTCGACTGAGGAATTAGCCAAAAGGCGCGTCTCCATTAGCGATCAGATTCTCGGCATGGATAATCCGAGCTTTGATCATCATCGGCGCATAAGCGCCAGCTCCGAGCATAACTCCGATCAGGGTCGGAGCAAATCGATACTTCAGCACGCGGGCAGCAACTACGGTAGCTCGGAGAATATACAGCAACACAAGTTCGATCTCGAGAATGGCAGGATCAACGGAAGCAGGAAGAAATCGGCGTACAGTTTGACTAGCTCCATTAGGGACAAGCTCGAATATTCGGAGGAGCTGGAACGGTGAGAATTTCTTTTGTGGATCATTCTGCATGCAGACTTTTTTTATCGATGAAAGAGATAATGATGTGATAGATTTCTGGAAGATCGATGAGAACACGATAGGTGGAAAGAGTGATAATTGACGATAATCACCGCTTCTCTCGTCATGGTATTCCGGGCTTCTCGTAAAGAGTTATTTTAGGATTTGAGATTGCGTAAGGATATGTGAGAACTGTTTACGAGATTGCGTTATCCCTGATAAAATGTCTCCGATTAAGCGCGGAAACAGAAAACTAAGTAAAAATAAAAAACAATTTTTCATTAATCGATACTCCTTGCCCTGTGCGCTTAGCACATTTAATATATTTCTTAAAAGTGATCTAATGGAACAAAGGAGGCGAGAAATTAGAAAGAAACGATTACGTCAAGCTTTTAACAGCAACGATTGAAAATCGTTAAGGAATAATAAAGTGTTTTTAAACGATAGTTAGTCTTCGGTGATTCTATCTGTGAAAATCACACGAAATGTATATCATTGATCAATCGATCATTTGTATGGACAATTATTCACGTTATTAGAATTCCATCCATCATGTTTTTTTTTCTTTTTTCCTCTTACAAAGCGGTATCAACCGATTATAATCGAACCCAAGACAATGAATGAAAACTATTCGTGGCAGGCAATCCTAACCGAGAAAATTATAACGGATCTAGGAAGCGTAGATCGTGATGTAACGCAACCGATTACAAAGCATGTCATTTCCAATCGCCTTGATATGATCATAAAGTCTAATGAGATTGAATCAAGCTCTTCGCACTAAGTTTTCTATATCTCACTATTCACGTGCACTTTGTAAGGTATGCGTTAATGTCTTCTGAATTCTTCTTTTTGCCCGATAATGTGAACAGCTATTTCGAACCACACAAATTATGTCTCTCATCGAAACATGAAAGTGAAATTGTCTCATTCATCGAATGGCAGATCCGAAGGTCGAATTCATAATCATTTATAATATTATCACTCCATTGCACGTATCTATATTTAAAAGAACAAGTATGACAAAGGAATGTGGATCTTTACACAGTTCTTCTTTCATTAAAAGATGCACATTTTTTTGTTTTCTCAATGTACAAATGACTCTCTAAGAGAACCAAATTTTACTACGCTTTTACATCAAACATTAACATTATTGACAGTAAAGGTATGATGCATATGTGATTTACTAAAGATTTTTACTGTCTTGTGTTATCCATTTCTGCCTATTTTTTTAGTATTTACCTTGCCTTCTTCTTTTCTCTGTTCGCTTCTTCTTTTTTTTCTTCTTCCGGTACCGCATTTAACTTCCGACTTTTAAATCAGCGCGAAACACGAACCGCAGTCTATTTGTACTCCGTCCGGCTCGTACGTGCCCGTGATTTTTAGTTTTGAAATTTCGATAATGCAAACTTCAGGAAAATAACTTTCCGTTTAAAGAGTTTAATATAAAGTTTCTTATTTAAACAGAGAAAAGTCAAGCGAAACAATTATTGCTGCGGTACCAAAAGATTCGTTAATTACAATAGAACGGAATAGAGATAATATGTTTATGTATGTATGTTTCATATCAGTAGTTCACTCATCTTTACTTATGCTTATTTTTTAATCATAAACATGGAATTGTTTTATTTCAGATCGTGGTTGTATCTATTTTGCGCACGATGCCACGGTAGCGACGATACACCGTCATGGGAGCCACCCGGTTGGAAAAGAGCCTGTCCCCAACCATTTTGCCCGAGTTACAGAAAATTCGCTCGGTTATTATGCCTGTTCCTGTTAGGGCTACTGCTCTGGGGCATCGTTTACTCCATATTGGGCGACGATGCCGCCCCTGGTGGTCCTCTATTCGGTCTTGCTGCCCTTTGCATAGCGGCGCACTTCGGCGGATGGTTGTTCTCCTTGACCACCCTTCCTGCCCTAATCGGCATGCTGATCACCGGGATTATACTGCAGAACCTCGGACTGGTCAACATCGAGGGCAATTACACAGTCGTCATCTCCAATTTACGGTGAGTCAACAGTGTATTCTCTTGCCCAAACCGTTCGTGAATGAGCAGAATTAAAACTAAATAAAAGAGTACTTTTAAAAAATATGTAATGGAAAGTATGCATAATGTTCGGCTACTGGTGGACAAAATTTTATGGGGTGATTCCTCAAGCCAAAATAAGGCAAAAATCAAAAATAAAAATTGTGTCCGAAGCTTCATTTTTAAATATAATCGATTAAAAATTACAACATTCAAAGAGGCAACGTTTAAAATTCTAAATGCTTAAAATTGATTCCGTCAGTGGTCGATCACCTTCTTTAACGTCAAGTTAATAAGAACAATTGAAAAGTAAAATCAAAGATTTATCTATAAGTATCGACACAAGCATTAGCTTGAAATACTATGTTATCCGTGGTACGGAAAGGGTTCGTTAATAACGCGCACATGAATTGGTGCACGGCATGGAACTATGGCAATTTACAAAGTATAAGACATTGCGAGAGGCGGAATGTTTGTACTTGGTTGAACGACATCGTTGACCCGACCGAGCTAAGGGGTTAATTATTACGTTATACCGCGTGACTACAGTTAGGCTTAACTGGGCACGTGATTAAAATCATGTGGTGCGGCGCACGCATTACATCTTCAGGCTGAATTTGTAAATGGAACTTCATCATTTCGTAATTGAAATTTATTCTATCGCGTCATGTGATAATATTTGTTCCTCGTGCTCCTCGTCTGTATGTTTCACCGGAATCGATTATTAGCGCGATCTCTCGACGTCGGAAGTCCATCATATTGGGTTGATAGAAAGCACTAACGTGGTACACGTGTTTAAATGTGCCAGGCGTAATTTCCGATCGTTTCGTGTTAAAAAATCATGCTATAAGGAACTTAAAATACACTGTACAAAATTTACTTTTTTTAATTGATCGATACTGAATTATTAAGTTATGAATTACTAAATTGAAAATCGATGAAGGTCGCAAATCGAACCTTTAGTTTACTAAACTATAAACGTCAGAACCAATGCTAGAATTACATAATTAATGTTGCTCGGAGGCTCCGTGTGTTTTTTTCTTCGTTGACTTTTATTGCCATTTATGCAAACAACAAAGAATGGAAAAAGAAATCATTTCGACCGAGCAAAAGCGTGGGACGTTTTACGAGAAATGGTAAAGAATTTTTTGGTCAACGCGCGGTAGAATGGATTGACAGACGATAGTCACCGTGAGCATCCGATAAAAAATGAGAAGGAATACAAAGAAAACTAGGCAAAACTCTAGCTGACATGCAACATGCCGAGATAAGATATAATAGAGAGATTTTTCGTTCGTCAGCTATTTCATACGCGATTGATAGATCACGCGGGAACGATATCGAAGTTTTAAATCACAACGCGTTCCACTTCATCCATATCCCGCAGGCGAAAAGTATTATTCGTTTTTTTTTTATTCGCACTTCACATGTTCGTGAAACGTGGTTAGCTATCAAGTTCTTTATTGTTCAAATCATTTCCTTTTTGAAAAGATTCAAGAATGTTTTACGTTTAGAGGTAGCACGAGTGTGACTCCTCGCACTTTAAGACTTTAAGACGCTTTTGGAAAATATTTTAAGAAGAAAACAATGTACATAGAAAATCTGTTTATTATGCATGTATTAAAGTGTAGGAATACAATTTGTTGTAATTTTTGTTAAAACTGGTGTCCTCGCAGTGGCTTTTTCGTGGTGATCTTAAAATTCAGGACGAAACGTTGTGCAGGAGTACCAGGCTTTAGTTATGCTAAGAATATGAAAACGAAATACTTTTATTTTCTGAATCACTTTAGCTACTGCAGTGCGTAGCCATTTTAAAAAATATGCATTTTTATTAAAACAGTAAGCATTTGAAGAAAAAGACTTTTCATTTGTACATCGTTTTAAAAAATTCTACTTTGATAAAAACGAGTCTAAAATTGTTTATAAATTAATTCTTATAAATAAAAGTGACAGAATTAAAAGTGGCCTTAGTTTAAGTAAAAAAAGGAAAAAGCGTTCTTTTACTAGTCACAGTTGTGTTGTTCCTTAAAGTATTTGTTATTAAGAATTCCTTTTTTTATGGAGCTAGTTCAGGTCATGATTTTTCGCCAGCTTTTATTGCATTGTCCGCCTTTTTAACTGCTCGTTTATGCGACCCCTTTCAAGGTCCGAAAGACGCAGTTTATGCGGAGTGTCCCCGTGGGATATATTCGCAACACAACTATCTGTTAAACTGCACGTGTAAGAACAAAATGGAGCTAATAGCGATAATCTCAAGTCTGATGACGTCTTTTTTATGGATTATGTGCTGTGCGAATAGCTACGTCAGCGTTAGATTACAATATCTTTTGCACTGACATTTATGAGACATGTAAACAATTCTTTTATATTTAAGCATAGTAATTATATTGAAGCAAATTCCATACAAATTTTATATCATGATTCCTAAAAAAAAATGTACTGTATATTCAAGTACGTAGTGTTACGGTTTGAATAGTAAATCAGTTCCCGATAGTGAAAGTGATTATTATTACTATATGTATTATGACACTCGTTTTTACTAGTGAACGATTATTGTTTCTGCTCACGCACTACGTGGAAAGTATCGGCGGAAGGTTCTTAGGTAGAAAGTCCTCGAGACAACAGCGATCGAGTCATCACGATCATAAGGTGGCCCGTTTATAACGTCGAGGCCAGCCAATAACGATTCTTTGCGGTCATACACGACACGTCGCACACGGCATAGTAATCGCGGGCATTCGGAAGAAACGCCGCGAAGAGAATACAGGGTGCACCTTCTCGACGATAACAATCGGTTTTAATTTGGCTGTTTATCGGAAAGTTCTCCTTTCTCGGAACGCGTGCGGGAACAAAGTTCCTCTCTTTTGCAACTTTTTCGGTCGAAATTTCCAGTCACGGATACGTCACGAGTTCGCGAACGTCCTCAGTCTTGTCGTAAATCATGAACTTTGAAATCCTTAAAATTCTCCCGGCTCTCGAGAATTTTATTGTCGACGGGAAATTTGTATTCGCCCGGGTTCGTTGGGGATTTATCAAAATTTTTCCCGCCATCTAGCATTAGAGACTAAAAAGTGATTAGCGATTGTTTTGTAAAAATGGAAGTTTGGAATTAGAGTATTCTTTGCTCGTAGGGGCAATGAAGTCTACAGAATACTAACGCTTCAAGCCTTTAAGCAATCATTATATAAACCCTGTCAACTCTACAAATACTTCTTCCACTATTCGCTATTGTGAAAAATTTTCCACTGAACGTATGCGTTCGCGGCAACTATTCTATGTTCCAGTTTCCGAGCGATACGTCACTGACCAAACAGTTCGTTCGGTTAGACAATTTCGTTCGAACTCACGTGTCAGCTTCGATGTAATAGCACAGTGTGCGACTGCACAGCAATATTAAACGCTCATCTAATACCTGATCAAATGTGAACGCGCACTTACCACATTTTGTTGCGTAACTTTTTCTTCCGATTTGACGTAGCATTCTTACATTTTCGTTTCACTGTTTCTCGCGTCAGGGAAATATAATTACTAAGCCCGAACGCGCGACTCGCCGTTCGAATCTCAAAGTAATTGCGTGAAATTACATTTTTTAATAGTAGATTATTTAACATTTAAGTGGTATTAACTTCGCACGTCTTGAAGGCAAATTTTAGTTACTGTAAAGCGTGCTATCTTAATATTAGATGCAAACTCAGTTTTAAAATACGACGTGTCGCGAGGGAAAATTTATATCTCTCTTTATGAAATTTCATGATCATAAATCATCGTTTTCGCGTTATTAGATATTGAATTACGTGTTACGAACATGTATGTATGTACAGGTGTGTCCTGTCTAGTTTCATGCAGGAACTATAATGTTACGGGATATATTATAATAGAGTGCATTATTGATGGGTTCAGTTGGAGGTAATCATGGTAAAGATACATTACTAAAAAGGATTATGCCAACAAATTACTCGGGAAAATGATTACTAAGCAACAAATTATCATAGGACGACGATTTTTCTTTTAAATTATAACTTGAAACAACTTTAGAATGCCATCCACAGATATTTAATTTCATATACTTTTACGACAGACATCGCGTAAATCTAAGGGCATGTTTACAATTTTTAAATTAGCAAAGTTTTACAACGTGCACGGACTCGGATAATTTCTTTCCGGAGATGTCGTTTGCGGAAAATGAAAGCTTGATTCCTCACTTTTAATTTAAAAGAAAAATTGCGTCTACGAGTTTTTCTTCCGATGTTACAGTGGCTTAAAGAAATCGTTTACACAAATTTCGCACCAGCGCAACCTACCCATTAGGGAACTCGAATCGGGAATGCAATTCCACCCCAAACATAATTTTATCCATTCACTCTAACACACGATCCTACTTTCATATAAGGAAATTTATAGGTTGTAATGCCACAATTTTTTTTAGTACTTTTATCGTATATTGAGATTTTCTTTCTACTTTTCTCATTAACTTTTGGCAGCTACAACTTCTTATTTATTATTAAAGAGAAGCAAGGCAATATTACCCATTTGTAAAAGGTGTGTTTTATATCGGATGTTTTAATGTACATATTGTATGCGAATGTGAGGACGGTATGGTTCCACGACTCGTGAAATATTAGCCGTCAAGAACGAATTTATGTCCTTGACGTATAGTATTCGTATATCACTTCCCATTGCTGTATCACCGTGCATCGACGTTGAGTAGGAAGCGCGTTGCATCACGTGTAGTATCGTACACGTTGTACGCGTACGTACACATCGGATCTAGTTCTGTATATCCTATTCTTTCGCGATTACACTGGATACAAAAAGTAATCGTACACTTTTTAAAATCGAATAAATCTTTTAAAAGTGGTTCATCTAATTTATATTCGATGATATATTAAAAAAGTAAAAAAAATTGGTTTTGTCGAAATTGATTTAGAAATAGAATAATCAATTTTTTTACCTTTTTCATTCGAGGCTGCAATGAAAGGTGA